ATAATTGGGATGGGAGTGTCAGAGACAGTGTGACTGGCACAGGACAGAGCGGAGTTTAGGGCTGTTGTACATAGGGTCGCTATGAGTCACAAGCGACTGGACGGCACATAACAACAACATATACAATAAGAAATGAACTAGTGAGAGCTGCAACAATATAGATAAATTTTAAATAAATTATGCTCAAAGTTTAAGAAGGTAAACTCAAAAAATTATATTTTATCATTCCATTTACAAAATAATTTGGAAAGCTCAAAATTATAGGTAAATGAGATGAGGCTGACAGAAACTGGATATGAAGAGAGGTAACTGATTACCAAAAAAAAAAAAAAACAAAAAACACATGAGGAAACACTTTCTCCACCTTGACTATGTTAATGGTAATATGATTGTATGGGTTACTAAAAACTCATCATTTCATATTTAAATACTTGTAAATTATACTTCAGTAAACATGATTTGACAAAGGCAGACTACTTGCTGAGATTTAAATCATAAAAAGAAAAATACCTTCAATTATCTGAAAATTAAAATATTCCTTTGTCTAACTATATATTTCTGTCAAGCCAGATTTCTTTCACTTATTTCAATCAAAAATATCACAACAGACTGAATATGAAAATTCAATTGTCTTCTACCAAAACAAGCAATAAAAAGATTTGCCAAAATGTTTCATTTTAGGAAATTACTATTTTTCTGTTGTTGTTAACATGTAATAAATTTAGTATTGTTATTTTCACACAAATTTGTACCTTTTTTCCATTTTACTCACAATAGAAATATTAAAGATACAGTCCATATACATAAAAGGTTTTCGTGCTCTAAATTTTTAAGGCTATATTACGGTTCTGGGAATTTGAAAAACCAGAGAATCACTGCTGTCCATGCAGTGCACTACTATAGAGATGTCCTAAGACCCTGCTGCTATCTGTGTCATGGACTTCCTCTAAAATGTGCAAGAAATAGCACCAGTTGACTTTATAAACAATGGCAGATAGCTTTATGTTAATTTCTTTTTACGAACAAAGGGAAATAAACAACTGTTTCTAATACTTATGTGCAATCATTCACTGTATCCACTGTTGCCTTAAAACAGGAATTGCCAAAAATTTTCCTGTAATGCACTGTTGTTGTTATGTGCTGCCGAGTTGCTTGTGACTTACAGCGACCCTATGTACAACAGCCCTAAACCCTGCTCCATCCTGTGCCAATCGCACTGCCTCTGACACGCCCATCCTGATTCCCCCAGTCACTGAAATAAATCTACCTCACAGAGGGCCTTCCCCTCTTGAGCTTTCCCTCCACCCTCCCAAGCATGATGTCCCTCTCGAAGGACCTGTCCCACCTTTAATGTCCAAAGTATGTCAGACGAAGCCCCAGAATCCTTAGCTCCAAGGAGTAGC